CAGTAAACTGTGTCCGTCTACTTGAGTTGCGAGTGCCGGCACACGCGGCAGAGGGCGGCGAGGCGATACTGGGATGTCAGTTCGACATGGAAAGAGATATCCTCTACTCTGTCAAGTGGTACAAGGACGGCAGAGAGTTCTACAGATATGTGCCCGCCAGTCAACACCCTGTCAGCCACTTTGCAACCCCTGGAGTCATGGTTGATGTATGTAGGTTGGAGTTTAGTTTTATTTTTGTATTTATTTATTTAGCTTACTATTATTTAAAAAAGACAAATAAATAAATAAAATATGGCAACAGTAAAGACACTTTATTTATTGATCACTAGGCTGTTGCTTGCGACTTCGCCCACGTGAAATTAAAACATAATAAAAAACAGCCTATGTTACTCACATATAGTGAGTCTTTACAACACACCTTTCTATAAGTGTAATTTTTAAAATCGGCCGAGTAGTTTTTGAGTTATTTCAATACATACAAAAATACAAATCGTTCCTTTTACTAACTATAGTATTGATATATAAATAATCAAAAAAGCTTGTAAGTAAGCATTATTAATGAAGAGTGTAAGCGGTGTTATCAGCTACAGACCTCGAGTTTAACTGCGGTTTTTTTTTATCTTAAAAATCAAAAACTAAAAACTAAACTGCCAGCATCAATTGCGATAAATAGCATAATAGAATTAATACTACGAAGTATTTTAAAGCGGAACATTCACATACTATTTGAATTGCCTCTCTAAAATTTTAAAATTATGTTAAATATTTTAACAGTTTCTTGAAGTGGCACTCTAGTTGTCGACCCGGTTATGAAAGTAAAGAAAAACTAGATGTAGTTATATACGATTGTACTTTAAAAGTTAAATAAGAAAATATGCATAGTTGCATAGAAAACTAATGCTTTGAAATATAACTAAAAAGAAAAAAAAATCAAACACCTAAATATTAAAGACAATCAGCGCTCTCTCGTGATATATCGATGACAACAAAGGGAGTGTATTGCTATGACGTCATCTAGTTAGACAATCTCTGAAAACTGCAAACAGACAGCTGGACCACAGCTGTTAACTAACACGATTCATAAAACCCCAGTTTTATGAAAGCGTCGAGTGGAAAATTTTTGTTTATGTACAGTCATCGACGAAACATTTGGAAGCAAACCATTGTAGACAATAAAGTCTTATTTAATCTTACTAACACTGGAACTGCGAAAGTTTAGATGGATGGATGTTTGTTAGAGTTTGTAGCTTAAACGGCTAAACGAATCTGGATGAAATTTGGCATAGATGTAGACCATAGTCTGGAGGAAAACATAGGCTACTTACTTTAGTTTTTTTTTAATACCACGCGGAAGGAGTCACCGGCGAAAACTAGTTGTTAAATAAATCAATTATTTAAGTACAAGCACTTTGATATTACTGTCACGAGACCAGTTAAAATTGATTAGATAAATGTTTTATGGCTATGTTTTGGCATAACTAACTAACGGATAGAAAACCTTTAATTCGATAGATAGACTTTTAACGCAGATGTTTACGTAAACATAAAACAAAAGTAATCCTCACCTACGCTAATGTTTTGAAGGTTCACGTTACAATTAATTAAGGGAAACTATAATTAGAAGTTGTAATGTAAGCTTCGATTGCCGCTCCGCCATCAATTATGAAATAATTCCCGTTTCCAATTAATTTATTAAGTTCATACATTTACGTACAGCAATTAAGTGAGCACAAGTTGTGTAGATATTGAAATATGTCAATTTCGACGTACATTCAAACATTTCCTACTAAATATATTAACTTAAATATCTAAAAGAGTCTAAAATTTTAATTTGTGATAGATTTCTATCTTTTAATCAACGTATGAGTAACCAGTTTGTTTAATTTATATAAATAATGAACCTTATTTTGAGGTTATCTCTTAGTAGATCAAACAGTAGCGCTTTTTATATGCATATAGCACTTCGACTACATTAACAACGCTGAAGCAAACAGGTCTTATTACTGACATTGCGCGTCTCGTCCTTCGTCGATTAAAAGTAGACAACGCAACCGCTATTGCGAATGTCTATAGGCAGCGGTCACTTCGCCATTTCGACGGAATCAGTTGGCCGCTTGCTTGTTTTTCACCTAATGATATATATAAAAAAACAATCTTAATTACATTTCAGTTGAGACGGTCTTCCAGCACGGTTGTAACGTTAGTGCATCTCTCAAGAGAATCTGCGGGTCTGTACCGATGCGAGGTGTCCGGGGAGGCGCCACTCTTCGCCACCGTACATGAGGAAAAGTATATCACTATATACTGTGAGTTTGTATTATAAATACTTTTTAAATAGCTTTCGCCCGCGGCACCGTCCGCGTAGAATTACCAAAAAGAAAAATTAAGTAGCCTATGTGTTCTTCCAGATTATACTCCACATCTACGGCAAATATCATCGTTATCCTTTCCGTAGTTTAGGCTATAAACTCTAACAAACATCCATCCATCTATATAGACTTTCTCATTTATAATATTAGTATAATCAGTAAGATTATTATGTTAATAACATAAAAACCTGTATATATTAGTAGGATTTTTGATTTTTTTTTGTAATTTTGTAATTTTTTCTTCTTTTTGTGTACCAATATTCAAGCATTCTGTCGTTATGAATTATGAACTTAAATATCAGAAAGTATCAATTACGAAACAAAATAGTAAACATTAAGAAATATTCATTTTGTATACTACCTGGAATATTAATCAAGCCACGAATACGACGACATTAATTATCTGCTATACGAACTTACAGAGCGTGGCCATCGGGATTTCCTTTGTACAGACAAAGACGCTTATTCATATTCAAATGTTTCAGACATTTCATGCAAAACTAACCTACATTATACATTTTATTTAATATGTTTGGTAATAACTTTAAATATAATTATAATACGATGTTAAACAAACTCAAAAAGGTAGACCTTTAACAAAGTATGAGCAATTTAGAAGAAAACGATTATTGCTATTTACTTTAGACAGGGGCTTTTTAATTTTATTCTTAAAACGAACCACTATTTTTGATTTTCTAATATACCTTATTGTTATATGTAATTTCTGTTTCTTTTCAGTATTACCTGAAACAAAACCCTTCATAACGGGTTTAAAAGAGAAGTACAACGTCGGTGATAGAGTAAGAGCAAATTGCACATCACCAGGTTCTCGACCAGAAGCTCAGTTAAAATGGCTTATTAACAACAAACTTGTTGGAAAGAACTACATACGAGGACCCTGGTATCGGGCGACTATGCAGCCTGACGTAACAGAAACTATATTGGAAGTGAAGTTTATCGTGGGATCGCATCACTTTAACTTTGATGTAATGGAACTTAAAGTAAGCGGTAACAAATTCCATAGAAAAATTCTGGATCGTTTACTTATTTCTATATACTAATTCAAAAACTATTGAATAGATTTAAATAAGCACTTATAGATGCTTCTTACCTTTCTACTTGTTTATCTATACCAGCAAATCCAATCTTAATTACTGAGAATGTATCAAAATAGAGTTTTAATAGAATCTCAGCTTATTTGCTCGCTTAAGTATCTGTTTATTTAATGAAAGATCGTTAAATATGAGACAAAATCGTTTAGCGTTTCTTTGCCTCTGTATCACTTCAGTCTTCTGACAAAAAAACAATATTTTCTCTATTTCCAGTGTCAAGCAACAATAGCACCGTTATACCAACAAGAGACTGTGTATCAAGCTGTACGGAAAGATATTCCGCCGATGGATTCCTTCACGGATGTACCTCAGCTGGGTGAACAGCCGCTACCGAACTTTCCAGATTTCGGCGACACTAATCAACTGCCTTTAGAAGATGAAACAGGTAACTGTTTTAAGAGTCATACGTAAACTTGCAACTTAATTTTATGTTACAGACCGTCTTCTTTTGAAGCATAGCATCTTAACAGACCTATAAAAGGATCTTTATTTCATGTTGGTGAGATTGTACAAGTCATCTTCTTAGAGAAGAACTTCTTACCCAAATAATGTTTGTAAAAAAGATATAAGCTTGTAAACAACGACATTCATTGGAGATATCACGAATTTTATTAAAGCTGCACGTATAGTCTATTCAGTATTGCTTCTTTTGTTACAGATGATGCTGCGACTGTTCTGCATTTAGACAAATTGCTTGTATTTATTATGTTATTGCTATTTCACTTTTAATGTTAATTACCACAGCAGCGCTGCCGCCGATTGCATTTTACAATGGACCCAATTTATGTAGGCTAACAAGTTTTCCTATTAACACTTCAATTTATATATAGTTGTAATAAATTATTTCTTAAAATTGTTTTTTAATGACGACATCCGGGATACTCCTCGATCCGTGGTTTTGTCGTATGTATTTTTCAATTGTCTCTAATCCTGTAGTTCTTCTAGTTGGTATCTATGGTCGAATGTATCTTACTAACAATGAAGTTAAATGCGAAATTTTAGAAAGATAGATTGATGTTTGTTAGAGTTTACCACATAAACGGCTGAACTGATCTCGATGAATATTTGCATTTTATTTTAGTTAATTTCGGACGGAGTTGCGATAGCTGATTTAAATAAAGTGTCTGAAAGTCCCCAGCAGTTGCATTTTTCAACTGCTGAGTATAAATAGAGCGTCGGTGGCTCAATGGCTTGAGCACTTGACTTGTAATCAACAGGTCTTGGGTTCGAATCCCGCCGCCATGTACCAATGTGATTTTCGATTTTTCGAATTTTCATATGTACATAATTTACCCGACGTTCTTACGGTGAAGGAAAACATCGTGATGCAACCTGCACATATTGGCGAAGAAATTCAAAGATATGTGTGAAGTCAACCAACCCGCACTTGGCCAGCGTGGTTGACTATGGCCTAGTCACCCTAACTTTAGGGAAGGCTCCGAGCCCCTCGGTGGGGACGTATAGTGAGCTGGTGACGAGTATAAATGTTAATCCTTAAAATAAACAGGGATAGTGTTTTTGTTTAAAATTGTATGCAGTATTACATTATTATAGCGAAATCCCATAGATGTGGTTTATTATTTGCGTTAAATGACAAATTCCATTTATTTCGCGGTCGCATGTCATCTGATCGTTGAGAACTTTAGCGAAATGATTGGCATTATTATTGTAATCACACACTGATACGTCATTACGAACAATGACAAAACAAAAATAGTCAATGTAATTTTTGTAGTATAAAACCTAGTTCATCAGAAGTAACGAATGTTATTTTTATGGAAACAAATAGACTTTATTGAATAACATAGTATTCCTGTGTTCCATCCTGCGTTCCATTCAGGTCATTCGTTCACCACTCAAAGAACTACAAACTTAAAAACTAATAAATACAATTTCTTTGTTCTTTCTACAAGCAGTTTCTATTTCCAAGTCGAAATAAAAATATTCATCAGATGCAAAGATGTTCGTTCCGAGACTAGGTTTACTTTACATGCCAGATCCTTTCTATAAAGTCTAATACTCGAATAATGTACTGTGAACTACGTAGTTCTAGATTTTTCTAGAAATACGACATCTAAAACAGTAGCTATAAGATTGTACTCAACTAAAAATAAATAATAAGATCTTAAATGATCCCAAAAGTAATATTGTTTAGGCTTTTATGTCTAAAACTACATCCATCTTGTAGATAATTTAATAACGTCACAACTATGTAAGAATAAGAACATAATATAGGAAAGTGGCGACTAGTCAACAATTTGCTTTGTCCTGAAATAGAATAAAATATTACTGTAATGAAAAACAAAAAAGAATATGAAGAATTCTTATTTTTATTATAGAACTTTTGTTTTATTTCTAACTTGTAGTCACTTTATATCGTTCTCATATGAAATCGACCTTTTCCTTTATGAAAGACAAATTCTCTAGATTTTTCTCAAGATTCACTTATGACAATGAAATTTTTGTTTGACACGATTAAATATTTTTCAATTACAACCCTTTTTCCTTATTAATTAATTGTAATTATTCGTCTAGACTTTATTTTTTTCTTATAACTTCTTACCTTGTTTATTCGACATCTAATCTTGGTGTAGTTTTATTACCTGCCTCATACATGTTTGCAATAATGTTGTTTCCTTGTATAAATGATGCGTTTTGGGTAAAAATAACTTTATTTTGTACAATACATTTATTTGTCTCTTAATATTTTTTTTAATTGTATAATCTATAGCCATGTTTCTGTCAGACAAATACTCGGTGATGCTATTTTAGAACGACGATTTTTAAAGAAATTTAAAGGTACAACTTTTTATGTGTTAAAAGAAACTACACCGACCAATCAATTTTGATAATTTAATTTAATAAAAACTAGAATAAAACTAATGACCAAAATCTATGTTTTTCAAATGTCTATGTTTCTTGAATACGATATTGCATTGTTTAAAAAGTCATAAAAAACGTTTTAATACTTTAGCATATAATAGTTAGAGAATAATTGTCGAACAATAAAACTAACTACACTTGACATAATATATCTAAATAATAAAAATATCAACTATTAATAATAAACAACCGTACCTACATATCACAGCTCTATTCATTTAGGAAGAGGAATTGCCCTACGACTGAACCAAATAATAATAAGATACAATTTGAACTCGAATATTTTAATAACTTTAATTTAAAATTGAAAATACTTCAAAAGGAATTCTTAAATCTTAAATCGTTTACACTTTTGAAAATAGATTGAAAGTTACAACCAAATACGAGCAAAAATGGTTCGAGTTCGCTTATTGGTTTAGGCCACTTCTGTGTAATATCGATTGATTTCATTGTATTTTTAATTTTATTTATAAGAATCATTCGGTACGATTCTTTTGTTCTATAGTTGAAGGATACTAAAATTGACTTATAATATTACATTATCAAAAATATTCATGGAGCAAAAATTGCCACGCTAATAGAGTTATCTCAATAATTCCACTTCGGTCACTCTATCATTTTTTAAGATCAGTTACAATCATCCGCATACTTATAGTACTATGAGATTAAAGTAATCCTATAAAGATTTTAACAGTTTTATTGTTCATAAATAACCTTATCTTTAACATAATGTCAATTAAATCTCAAATTAATAACGGATGTCAGCAACTAGGAAAACTCAGTTCCTTGTTAATCGATTGTCTACATTCATTGCTAATAGATTACGATATCGATTGCAAATGTACGACTTCCTTGCGTTTCTTACCGCGGAAATGTTCTTCGATTTCAGCGAGCGACTTCCCTTTCGTCTCTGGTACCATGAATAGAACAAAAAAGAACGCAACCGCACAGAACGCGGTGTACATCCAGAATGTACCCGCTGACGTCAGCACAGCCTAGACAGAAAAAAATACTAGAGTAAGAAATCATATTAATGTTATAAATGCGAAAGTTTAGATGGATGGATGTTTGTTAGAGTTTGTAGCCTAAACGGCTAAACGGATTTTGATATAATTTAGTATAGACGTAGAAGATAGACTGAAAGAACACATAGGCTACTTCGTTTTTTTTAATTCCACGGGGATGAAGTAGAGGGCGAAAACTAGTAATATAACAAATTATCAATATAACAACTTTAGAGGCAGCATTAGTATACACAATTCGAAACTGTGTCCTATAAAAAACTAGCGACGACAAATAAATGTTATAATATATTTTAATGACAAATTCGATGCTAAAAAAAATATTTAATAGTACTCATTAATTTACGTCACCATAGAAACAATAAAGTGACTAAACGTGAGGAATATGACCTCAGCGAGATCAAAGCATTCAAATCTATAAAGGCTATTTACCATTTTTACTGTACAGTAAATATAAAAAAAAAGTTTTATGTGAACGCGCGATGCGATTTCTTTATGAAAGAAAAATATATTCTTTTAATTTATAACTGCAAATACGCTTAATTCTTATTCATTTATTGTGGCTTAAGAGAAGGTCAGATGTTAGGCTTAATTTAGTAAAAAAAAACACTGTCACAAACTATTGTGTCTCGCAGATAAATCGCGCGGACGTAATTACAGAGATCACGGATAGTGATGCTATGGCACATAATATGTCTATCTTGTTAAATTCTTTTGTTATAAACAACACCAGGTTTTTATAGCGGAAGCGGTCACATGATATCATTGCCATAAATCCCACAGAACTAGTACTATTTATTAAATTAATAAATTTAAAAACTTCAACTTACTTCTAAAGCATGGTACGACTTGATAACCGTGAACATGGAGAGAAGGTTGACAGCGCTGGCCATAGCTGACAATTGGGACCGATAGTGTGCCGGGAAGAGTTCGCCTAGCAACAGGAACGGTAGACCTCCGAAGCCGAGAGAGAAGCCGAGCATGAACACTACCAAACTCACGATGGGCAGATATCTGTAAAGAAATCAACGTTGAATGTAACTGGCACCTTTGACTTCAAGGACAAAATGTTTTGACGCTATTCAATTGTTTTGGACTAAAAACTAATATTCATTATTTTTTATTTATGTTTATTTGTTACCCGAGCCATGATTCGGCTTCAAATTGGAAGTAGAAAGCTGCTCCCATGGCTGCC